GATGTATGCTGATTCCGGCTGGTTCTCTGAGATGGGAATAGAGCCTCTGATGTTTTTCCACGCAAGGCGCTTTTGGAGCGTTTGATGTTGAAGCGATGAATCATTCAAGAAACTCACAAACACGACACAATACACTCATCTCCTTTTCAGCCTGTTTCTTATTCATCCTGCCCTGTCAGAGCCAACAGGGAGAGCAGAGCAGAGGAGAGGAGAGGGAATGGAAAGAGAGAAGAGAAGAGGTGGGATGAGAAACGATGAGAAGCGAGGAGAAGAGAAGCCAGGTGATGAGAAGGGAGTTAAGGAAAGGAGAGAGGTAGATGGGGAAAGAAGGTAAAGAGGAGAAAAGAGATGTGTGGAGGAGAGGAGGAAAAGAGGATAAGCTAAGAGGAGAGAAAGGGAGGCGAGGAGAAGAAGAGAAAGGAGAAGGTAGGGCAAGAGAAGAGTGGTGGGAACAGAAGGGAGGAGAAGGGAGGAGAAGAGCAAGAGGGAGAAGAGGAAAGGAGAGAAGTAAAGGGGAAGGAAGGAAAAGAGAAAGGCGGAAAAGAGGAGAAGGTAAGAAGAGAGAAAGGGAGGAGGGGGGAGAAAAGGAAAGGAGAAGATAGGGCAAGAGAAAGTGGTGGGAGCAGAAGAGAGGAGGAAAAAGAGGGAGAAGAGGAAAGAGAAGTATAGAAGAAGAGAAAATAAGAGAAGGGAAGGAAGGAAAAGAGGTGGAGAAGAGGACAGGAGGAAAAGAGGATAAGCTAAGAAGAGAGAAAGGGAGGTGAGGGGAAGAAGAGAAAGGACAAGGTAGGGCAAGAGAAGTGTGGTGGGAACAGAAGAGAGGAGAAGGGAGGAGAAAGAGGGAGAAGAGGAAAGGAGAGAAGTAGAGGGGAAGAGAAGTGGAAGGAAAAGAGAAAGGTGGAAAAGAGGAGAAGGTAAGAAGAGAGAAAGGGAGGAGGGGAAGAAAAGGAAAGGAGAAGATAGGGCAAGAGAAGAGTGGTGGGAACAGAAGGGAGGAGAAGGGAGGAGAAAGAGGGAGAAGAGGAAAGGAGAGAAGTAGAGGGAAAGAGAAGTGGAAGGAAGGAAAAGAGAAAGGTGGAAAAGAGGAGAAGGTAAGAAGAGAGAAGGGAGGAGGGGAAGAAAAGGAAAGGAGAAGATGGGGCAAGAGAAGAGTGGTGGGAGAAGAGGAAAGGAGAGAAGTATAGGAGAAGAGAAGATAAGAGAAGGGAAGAAAGGAAGAGAGGAGAAAAGAGGGCAAGGGAAGAGTGGTGGGAACAGAAGAGAGGAGAAGGGAAGAGATGAGAGGAGACAAGGAGAGCAGGAGATTGGAGGAGAATAGGGAAGAAGGGAAGGGAGGGCAGAAGAGAAAGCAGGAGATGAACAGCGAAGGGAGGAGAGGAAGAGTAGAGAACAGAGAAGAAAGGGCCGCGTTAGAAGAGAGGACAGGCTGAAGCAAAGAGAAAGAGGAGAGATGATGTGAGGAGAGGACAGTGGAAAAACTGGAGAGAGGAGATTGTGGCCAAAAAAAGAAGGGATATTTGTTTGGATTTAAATTCTAAAGGGAGTCCTCGACCCCTTTTTCAGGAAATAATCTGCCCCTCCCTCACAGATCTGGCATATTTAAATGTGTCTGTGAGGGGAAATCTGCTTGTCCCGGGGCAGTTGCGTAAGTGCGGGATTAGCGATTTTGGGCATATTTTGGATTACCTATTTACGGTTTATTATTTTTTTAGCTCACCTGTTCAACAGGCTGGCGTGAAGCTGCAACAGTAAAGGCAGCCCTCGTTCTTTTCTCTGCCTTTTTCAGTAGAAACGCAAAGTCATGAATGTAATAATGAACAATTCCAGTTTGTTTATCGTTTATTTGTTTGTTTATTAATTTATTTTTAACCAGTTGTTCTCCTAAGGTAGTCATATCGAATTCCCCCGATTCAGCCAAGGTGGGAAGGCTACCCTTTGCTTCCTCAGAGGCACATGAAGCCCCTCCATGTCTTTTCAAACTGCCTCTAACACACTGTGGGAGCTCAACATGCTTTAAGGAGAACGTCAGCTTACAGACGACCCTTATTAGTCCCACAACGGGGAAAGGAACCCATCCGTGCAGTGAAACACCCACATACACACTAGTGTATGCACACACACTAGGGGGCAGTGAGCACACTTGCCCGGAGCGGTGGGCAGCCCTATCCGCAGCATCTGCAGCTGGGGGTTAGGTGTCTTGCTCAACGGCACTTCAGTCACATACTGTCGGCTCAGGGAATCGAACCAGCGACTTTCCGGTCATAGGGCTGGTTCCCTAACCTCCAGCCCGTGTCTGCCCCCAGTCATGTTGGGACTGAGGCACCATTCTGCCCACCCAGAGTCAGGTTTTCTCTCCGGGACTTCCTGCCATGGATAGCTGTGGCATTGCCAGGGATCAAACTCACAGTCTCCTGACAACAGAGCCAGCTGTTAGACCCCTGCATCACCTGCATCACTGCATAGGGGAGACCCCTATTATTTTTAGCAGAGGTGTGGACTTGTGTATGGCTCGGACTCGAGTCAGACTCGAGTCATGAATTAGATGATTTTAGACTGGACTTGAGAAGATCGAGTACGACCTAGGAATTGACTGACTTCAACACCAACAACTTGGACTCTGACTCGGACTTGAGCTTCATGACTCGGAAAGACTCGAGACTCAAAGAGGAAGAAACATGAAGAGGCATCTGACTGCAGATGGGACTCTACACACAGTCAGACTTGAGTCACGAATTTGATGATTTTAGACTCGACTCGAGAAGATCAAATACGACTTGGGACTCGACTTTCACTTCAACACGAACGACTCGGACTCTGACTCGACCATGAACCTCATGACTTTGAAAGACTCGAGACTCAAAGCGGAAGAAACATGAACAGGCATCTGACTGCAGACGGGACTCTACACAGAGTCAGACTCGAGTCACGAATTTGAAGAATTCAGGAGAAACTGACCAGATGAACTGACCATTTTCCCGACGGTAGCAAAACAAAAGAAACACAGCTCTCTCTGTTTGACTGATTTTAACAGCTTCTGTAGGTACAACAAGCAAAACATTCACCACGAGGCTGAAGTTGACTTTTTATTCGCCAGCTGCGTTTTGGAATTTTTCATTCCTCCTTAAATTGTGCAGGAGTGAGGGGCCAGAATATGCCCAGAACTGCTGGACCATTTAAGGTGGAACGTAGTTTATTCTTGTAACTTTACAACTTTATTATCGAAATATTACGACTTCATTCTCTAAATATACCAACTTTATTCTTGAAGTCCACTATTTTTTTTGTAACAGTGGCCCTAAAATGCCATCAGGCGATTGGCTGTTTGTCATAAACGCCACGCCTTCATATGCACATGCATGAGGACTAATCCCAGCTTCAGTATCTGAACCTGACTTTAAAGAGAAAGTTGTTAACCATCTTTGTAAAATGAGCTGACTGCGTTTCTGTTTGTTGGGCTTTGTGAAGCTGAAATTTAATCAGGAACTCTGTCTGCATTGAACTCGCTTCGTGAGTCAGACCCCTGGCCTTGGTTCATCGCATTAGAAGTGGTCCATGAAGTATCTCTTTATTTAGTAATATTATAGCTCTGTGTGTAACTGAGACTGTGTCTCGCTTAGCTCTCTCTCCCTTAGTCACCTCCTGCTCTCTCTCATTCCTCCTCTCTCACGTTCAAAGTCAACTTTGTCGCTACTGCCGTGGGTCGAGTGAGACACGAAATGTGGCTCCTGTGGGACGCGGCTACGTTTAACGCAGAACAGCAGACAAACGAATACGGCAACAACAGCATAAAAGTCAACAAACACGAATAAATATGACTCTACAGAAAACACTGTTCAACATTGGTCTTCAGATCGGGGCTTTGAATCCACCGGCCCTGGATTTTGGTATCACTGGTAGTTCGCTGTCCTGTTGATGTAACTGATTGGCCTCCTGGCATCCTGCCTAGTGACCATCCAGTGACTGCGAAATTCAGGACCGGAAACTGAATTCAGCTGCCGGATTTGAAGATCTCTGCTGCACCATATGTAACTATATAAACGTTAAAGGGGTAATCCACCCTAAAACTTAAATGTGATGTTATTTGTCATGTTAGGTCAGGGGTGTCAGACCCAACCACTAAAAGGGCCATATTAAAAAAAAAAATCTCAACAATTTGTGGGTCAGCTGTGTTTTTATTTTATTTATTTTTTTGCCACTTTGCAATGACCCCAACTGGCCATTGTCTATTCAAAATATGACAAAACTACAACAGCAAAAAATATGCACTGAATACTCAATTAAAAAATCATTTTAATTAAAAACAAATTGTTTTCTAGAAAATAATAGACTACATTGGCTTTTAAACCTCTTTAAATGTCCCCAGGGTACAGTATTTTTTTTTAAACTGCCCATTCAATTGAACCAGACACCTAACATCTTTTTATTTTGTTTTACTTTTTTTTTTTATTTTTTGTGGTGCTGTCCCATAGATCATTGTTGGGGAGGGGCTGGGAGCACACATTATTTATGTGTGTGTGTGATATATGTATATGTGTGTGTGTGTATATATATATATATATATATATATAAATATGTGTATGTATCTATGTATGTATAGATATAGATATATAGATATATAGATATAAAAATATATAGAGAGAGCACCTTTCATATACTATGGTCATTCAAAGTGAATGAGAAGATTAAAAAAATTAGAAGAATAATAGAAATTAAAAATATGACATAATAGTAATAACAATATTAACAGTAATTACAGCAGCAATAACAGTAATAATAGTCAAAATAACAATAATTATCGTGACAATAACATTATCAATGTTAACAGCAGCAGTATTAAGTTAGAAAGCGTTAATAACAAATAGAAACTATAAGGGCAACAGTAACAATAATAACAGTGATATTAACAACAATAAAAATAACTCTCTCTCTCTCTCTCTCTCTCTCTCTCTCTCTCTCTCTCTCTCTCTCTCTCTCTCTCTTTCTCTCTCTCCTTTCTACAGGACTTTGATCGTGTCTGCTGGTCATGAATCGGTGGTAGAGGAGTAGAAGACACACGGGCGGCCCGATCCATCCACCACTTCGGTTAAAG